AGGGTGGGCCTCACCCAAGAGGTGACACCTGGGCCGGGTCTTGAGACTTTAGAGGAGTGCACCAGGGAGGGGAAGGGCACTGCTCACTGCAGGCAAGGGGATAGAATATGTAGACACGAAACGGCGTGGTGTGTGTATGTGTGTGTGCGTGCGCGCACATGCTCGGAGCAGAGTTGGGCGTGGGTCTGACCTAGCAGTTTGGGGTCACAGCACATGGAACCATTCTGACAGTCTTGATGTTCTCCTATAAGCCATAGTGGGTGTTGAGCAGGAGAGTAATGTGGTTACATGTGTGTTGTTTTGGGTGAGTCTCCTAGTCAGGGTGGGCGGGTGGCGGCGGGGAGAGGATGAGTGGGAGAGAAGACGCAGAAGCCGGGAGACCAGTGTGTGGGACTGGGAGGCGCCAGGCCAGGTGGAGAGAAGGTGAGGCCTTGCTCAAGGCAGGGTGGTGGTGGGGGGCAGCCGAGGGTGGAGAGGGGTCCAGTCTGGTCCTGATTCCACAACAAGGCCTGGGAAAGGTCTGTGTCCAGGAGCAATGTTGAGTGGGGTCCTTTCTGTGTCCCCAGCCTCCTGCTGCTGGCAGAGTAGGAACTCCATCAATGCTGGTGGGATGACCAATGACAGGCCTTGTCCACCCATGTGACTTGGCCCCATGCCAGATGTCACGCCCAGGGAGCTTGGGGTGGCCAGAGATGGGGTTTGGGGTGTTGTGGCCAGGCTGGACCACCAGCTCCTGAGGTTGTACAGTGGCTTTGAAGGGCAGGAGGTAAGTGGCCCTGAATCGTGGGGGCCAGTTCTGACTATGGTCTTGGCTGATTCCTGGGATCGTTTCCAGTGTCTCAGCCAGGAATGAGGGTTAAACCGATGGAGTTCTGCGGCCTCCTGATCTCTGTGTGGGTCAGCCCCACTCACGTCAGCTGGTGTCCCATGTGGCCCTGGTGGTTCCGACGGACAGAAGAGGACAGGCAGGCCTAGAGATGCTGTACAAGGTCTTTGTTGTCATGGTTGGGTTGGTACATGTTAGCATCTGCATCATACAAAGGGGGAGCAACAGCCATGGCTTTTGGTCAGGTTCAGGGGGGCATGAGGGGTGCCCCTCCCCTCCCCCAGGCACTGACACATTTAAAGGAAGCAGAGCAACAAGGACACAGCACAGATGTGGGAAAAGGATACCCCCGCATGAGCAGGATGGTCATCCTCACCTGGGTCTCACTGGGACCCCACCCGCACCCCAGGGCCAGCACAAGCACCTCCCATCTCTCCCCCATGAAGAGGTGTAGAGAGGGGAGCAGGGGACATGGGGCGGGAGGCTTTTCTTCAGGCCTGGGAGATGTCCCCTCATCTGAGCCAAAAGACCACCCCCATCCCGCCCGTACAGTCAAGGACCTGTGGGATCCTAGAAGGATGGAGCAATTGGGTGGTGGGTGTCAGCAGCCCTGCCAGCTGGGTGCCAGGGGCTCTAAGGGCTGGTGGTCTGTCTCATTTCACTCTAGCCACCAGCCTTTAGGGTGGCTCCTTTGCTCACATGATGGCCCTGGGCTGAAATGCTTTTGTTCTCTGCTTCTCTTTCCCCTCCTCCTTCCTCCTCCTCTCCCTCCCTCCCTATACACACACACACACACACACACACACACGCACGCACGCACGCATGCACGCCTCTTGACTTCCTGCTTTCTTTTGGAGGAGACCACACATAGCTTTGCTGGTAAGGACATCCTCCAGTAGCTGCTGAACCTGGAGTGGAGGATGTCCACCTGTGGGCATCCTCGTCTGTCTCAAGTGCCCAACATGGCAGATCCAGAGAGACCTGGTCCCTTCTCTCTGGCAGTGGCCTTCCAGGCACCCAGCATGGCAGTGGCCTTCCTTGGCAAGCACACGTACCCACCTTGGGTAGTGCACACTCCCTTGCATTTTATTCTGTTCTCACCATCTACAATGATTGCTCTTCATGTTCCCCTAGCTGGGGGATGTCTCCCATGTATGCTGTGTATGTGCTGAATTCTGGGGCCTCTCCCTCCCTGCCCCTGCCTCTCAAGCATGTCACATGCACACTTCCCCATTTGTGCATGACAAACTCATCCCCCTCCCATCCAGCAGGCCACACACACTTCCCCCAACCCAGGCACATCATATGATTATCCCTGCCCTGCTAGAGTCCCCCACCCCCATCTTTTGTGTCCGCCCGTGAGTGTGCTGCACATTGGCTGCTTTCCAGAGTCAGTCCTGTGTCAGGAAGGACAGTGGTCATGTTTCCCCCAGACCTGAGGGTGATCACCTGGCAGTGGTTAGAGCCAGGTGTGCTCCAGGCTGAAATTCTCCCCCTGCTCCTGCCGCCGGGAAGCCCACCAACACCAGTCCTGCTGCTTGGAGCAGGCGGTAGGAGTCTGGAGGGTCTGGGAAGTGAACCAGACTAAGCCAGCCACCCTGGAGGGTACTTTCATGTGGGAAAAGTCTGGAGCCAACTCTGGGGATACAGAGGGCTTCAGAGACCACCAGGGACACCCACTGAGGGTCCAGGGTTCCTCAGGCCCACGTGGGTAGCTGGTGTGGCTGGGCTCCCCTGCTCATCTGAAGCTCCCTAGGCCGCAGCCTCCGCTGTTCATCTAGCGTGCTCTGCGCCCTGGCCCACCTTTAAGGTCTGTGGGCCCCTGTCAAGGGGGAGACCTTTCAGAATACTGGGGATCCACCCATGTCCAGTGGGGCTCACACACAGGGTCTGGGTAGGCCTGGGGCTCCCGGACTGGGCCCTGCCTATATCTGCTCCAGGACCCCAGGGCCCTAGAGAATGACCATTCTGCCCAGGATAACAGACACGAACAGACAAGCAGACAACAGGGGTGCAAGGTGGCTCCCCATCACAGACACAGGCACAGACAGACATAGGCCCCATGGGGGGCAGGACACAGGGGCACAGGGGAAGGAGCGGGGGTGGGGGAGAAGGGCAAGTCCAGGGAACTGGAGATGCTGAGGCCCTGCTCCCCAGAGAAGGGACAGACCAGGGGATTTTCTGGTTCCCTAAACATATGGATTGTTTTGTCTTGTCTTTAAAGTATTGCAGTCTAACTGATATGGCTTTAACTATTGGAAACAGACAGAGAAGACACATGTCTCTCTCTGAAATAAAAGCATAAGTCCACTAAAATGGAAAACCTGCAGAATGCAAACTGGGGCCAATGGGGCAGGGCATCAGGGGCAGGCAAGTCGCCCCTTCCCTGGCCCCTGCTTTGGGGGTAGGCCTTGGCTGAGGCCCAGCATGGCTTCTTGGGGCTCTGCCCGCGTTTGTCCCAGTGGACTTCTGAAGACCTCAGACAGGAACCCCCCAAGGGCGGGAGGACTCTAGGCCAAGGACAAGGTCTCCTGTTGGATGTGGCTACTTGTGACCAATGGTTTTGGGCCCTAGAGAAGCATCTTACCCATATTCTTTCTCCCCAAGACCATGTTCTGCACACTACTGCCTTTTCAGAGCCACATAAATGCACACAACAGTCTTAGCATATCTAATACACCTTTCTACAACATCTAACACATACCCATCTCTCCTGACACACACGCTGTTTTGAAAACACATGTAAATACAAGCTAACATATGCAAGGTCTCCCACACATATGAGATGGCTAGCACACACATATGGCACAATCTCAACTCATACACACTACCTTGAACACACATACACGGGCTGCCTAACAAACACAGTCTCTAACACAGGGACATGATGGCCAAAACACAAACACACAATCTCAAGACATACACATACTCTAACCATACACCTATATGTATAATCTCGGGACACCTAATTGACGATGCAGTCTCTGCCATGCATGTCCACGCTTACATGGGCACACACTTCCTCTTTCATTGCTCCATGGCCATCCAGTTCTTACTCAAGTAACTGAGCAAGAGGCCTTGATAATTTGGGGTGGTAGAGACAAATACCAATCTCACACACCCCAGAGGAGAGTTTGTTCTTGGCCGATGAGATGAATGGACAGGGGCCTTCTGTCAAGTGGGGGCTGGCTTCTCCCCAAAGGCCTGGGGCTTTAGCTAGGAAGGGTCCTCCAGGGGACCATGGGGTCCTGGAAGCACATGGACAGGCCAAGGTGAGGAAGAGGGGTGGATAGGAATGGGGGCAGCTTGACTGCACCAATGGGGGGGTCCCATGGCATGGGCCATTGCTGCCCAATGGCTCCAAGTGTTTTCTGGGGGGGCCTGGGCAGCCCCTTGGCTGGGCAAGCTGGGCCCAGCCTGGCAGTGGGGCCCCAGGACCTAAGTGGAAGGTGAGGGAACAAGGAGCAGCCCTACTTGGGGCCCCTCCAGAGATGAGTTAAAGTCCAAAGAGGATCCATTTGGAGGGACTGGCTTGGCAGGGGCTACCCCCTTTTGGGTGGGGGGTGGGGGAGGGGTGCTCCTGGGCTGTGCATCATCCGGGAGGGAAGGAAGAGGGCCTCAGCCTCCTTCCCAGAGTAAAGGGGGTCTCTCAGGCTGGGCAGGCTTACCCTGACTCCCTTCCTTATAGCCAGGTCGTCCAGCGTCCCTGCCCTGACCTGGAGGTCCACTGGGATCAGAGGCCAAAGGTCAGCATGCTGGGCAGGGCTGGAATGTGTATTACTTTGGCTGGCTGGGGACAGAGGTCCTCCTGGCAGTGGGGTGCATGAAGGAATGTATGGGGGTTACCACACTAGCATAGACCTTGGGCTTCTGGAAGCTCCCAGGGCCTCCCACACTGCATACAGTGCCCCCCTGCTGGGGAAAAGCTGTCTTCCCTTTTTGCAAGCGACTGGGGTGTGAGGTGGGGGCTGGATACCCTGGGATGAAGGGAGTGTGAGGGAGCACTGAGAGGATGCGCCCCCGGCCAGGGACGGGGGGCAGAGGCCAACCGAGGTTTTCCCTTCAGAACTGAGACTTAACGGAATTAAAAGAAGAGAGAGAGAGTGAGAGAAAGAACCAAAAAAAAAAAAAAAAAAAAAAAAAAAGGAACAGTGGCATGGGGGCGGGAGGGGGGCTGGTTACTTCTTGAACATGTCCTGCAGCGGCCCGGGCAGGTATTTGAGCACCGTGTCCAGGATGCTCTCTTCCTCCTCCTCGTCCTCGTCCCCGCAGCCTGCGGGGATGGCCTTCTTGGGCCGCGTCAGGCTCCCCTCGCAGGGCTGCTCCAGGGCCGCCTTCTCCTCAGCCTCCTTCTCTTCCTTCTTCTTCAGCCCGTACTGGGAAGGGCATGGGGGTGGGGGGGGGGCGGGGCATGAGCATGAACCAGGCGAGGCGAGGGCCGGTCTCAGGGTCATGCAGACTCCTCTGGGGCCACTCCCGAGAACTCCCCCAGCCTCAGCCCTCAATCGCTACCCACTCATAACAACTTCTCTACTCTTTTGAAATCCCCCAAGGTCGGAGACCTGAAAGTTCTCCCATAGGTTTGGACCCAGATTTTGGTGACAAAACTTGACTTCGACTGATGGAAGGTCACTTATAACCTTGATTTCTTGCAGTAGTGTGACCACACATGCGACCGTCCGTTTGGTATGGGCAGCTGCAAACCCTCTGAGGGTGACATCTAACAGTAACAGGTGCTCAGAGCACTCTGGTACTTTAAAGAAACCCCCAAATTCTGGATTCTAAACATATTAGGTTTCCTATGTTTTGAGTAGGAGATTGCAGACCCATAGCAGCAAACGTTAGAGAGCACTTCCTGTGTGCATTGTCTTAAGTAATCCCCATTGGTCCTCAAGGGGAGTGTTTCTGTGGCGCCCAGAAGACTGAGGCTCAGAGAACACTAGGTCTAAGGTCAGAGCTGGGTTTTAGGGGAGCCCGAGGCCAGGGGTAGGGGACTCATCGCCCCCGTGCCTCCTACTCTTCAGGTTGGCAGGAGGGTAGTGCTCACCTTGTCTCGGATCTGCTGCCGGACCTTCTCGCGCTCAGCCTCCATGCGCGCGTGCTTGGCCTTGCGCTCCTCCTCCTGCTGCCGCAGCGCCTCCTGCCGCTCCTCCTCCTTCTTCTGTGCGTCTGGGTCCTTCTCCTCCTCTCCCCCCAGCATTTTCCCCATGTCTTTGGTGGCCCCTGCAGGGGAGGGGTTGGGAAGAGAGAGGGTGGGGTTAGAGGGGCCCCGGGTTGGGAAGAGCAGGGCCTGGTGCGCTGGGGCCCCCCACACCTGGGTCCAGACCCTGACTGAGGGTGAGGGTGTGGGGGTGGGGCCTCACCTCCGAGGGCCTGTTTCATGACGAAGTCCATCTCTGCGACTGGTTAGCGTGCTCTAGCCCGCAGCCAAATTTGCATGCAGCGCTCCCGGCAGGCCTGGCTGGGGAGACGTGCCAACCTGCAAAAGAGGAGTTGGGGGTTAGATGGGAGAGGCCGCTGCACAGGCAGGGTGCTGGGGTTCGACCGACGGCGGCCTAATCCCGGTTCAGGCACGGGACTCCATCAGTCTGAGGCCGAGACGCAGTGCCCTGGCACTGAAAGGAAAGGGGTTATTTCTGGAGCACTTGTTATGTACCAGGCAAATATGTGTTGCCAAAAGGCTCAGATCCCTACTTCAAAACCATCTTGACCATATAGCTTGAATTTGATTGAAGTCAGGAGTCTTGGAAAAAGCCTCTCATTTGGATGCAGGCAGAGCATGGTTCTGATGCCGCCCTCCTTCCTTGTTTGTCATATGCACTTCAGGCAAGTTACGGGGCCCCCTTGAGCCCCAGTTTCTTCCTCTGTAAGACAGAAATGGCAGTGCTTCCTCTCCCAGAGCTACTGTGGAGACTGGAGAGACCTCTATTGCAGGCCCCCAGATTGACCCCTAGATGGAATGAGCGTGTGCTCAGGGTCCCATGAATCAGGGCGGGTGAAGGAATGAGAACAGCTAGCTTGGATGAGCATATCCAGGCTTCTGAAATTAGACAGATGGAGAAATAAATTATTTTTATTGCAGCATACATGTACGTTTTGTGTGTATAGCTCAATATTGATTTTTATTTTAAATTGCACAAGGGGGTTAGAGACATGAGAATCTTCTTGGGGCTTAGGGCCTTTAAAGTACGAAGCACCGGGCCTTGTGAGCACTCAGCTTATGTTAGTCCTCCTTCTCCTTTCCCTAAATCACCGACTTCCAGTTTTTATTATATTTTTTCTTGTTATTATTTTGCCTCAGATTTTCTTCAAATAAAAACTTAAGGGGAATCTCAATTTGCAAAATATGTAGAAGTGGAACTCTTCCAATGGTGGGGGGTAGGGGTAGAGAGCCTGGAGCTCCCCTCTGCCCTTGGCCTTCTTACCCTGCTTCCCCCACATCCCTAAGGATTTGAACCCCAGTGCTCTAACTCCTAGACATTTCCCTTTTGTTTTAATTGTTAAGTCTCACTGGTTCTCTCATAGGCAAAGCCACCATAAATGTCCTTTACGGTATAAATGGAACCTCTAAGCTGTCCAAACTGTGACGTGGCTTGATAGTGAACTGAGGCCAGGGTGACTCCCCAAGGCCTTTTATCCAACACAGTCATGGGGTCTTTATACTTTGCTAGAAGGAAAAGGGGGTTCTGTGAAATGGTGACAGAGAAGCCAGGCCAGGTACTATAACCAGGTTGAGTTCAAGGTCACTGGTTGTCAGCTGATGACGGAGTTTCCTCATTCCTTTCAAAACGAGAAAACATATTGTCAGACTGAGATCTTTCCATAAAATGGGGCCTGAGTTTATTTGAGGATCTCTATACGATCAGACCACCCGATAGGTTGTTTTGAGGAGAGAAAGTCATGATGGAGTAGAAAAAAAAATCTCCATGGGCTTCGGCATCAGACACACCTGATTTGAAATCTGGCTCCAGTTCTCACTGGATCCCTGGGAAAGCTTCACTTTGTTCCCTACAAAACAGGGGCGTATTAAGGCTGCCTGTCCTTCTACCGATGTCTGGAGGAGAAGACAAGATGCTGGTCAAGTGAGTACCGGGTATGCAGCAGAAGCTCATTAATATTAGCCGGAGAACCCACGCTGACCCAGAATTCGGGGTTTGAAGGCGCTCAGCTCAGTCATTCAGTGTGTTTTCATCTGATTCAAAACATTATAAAAAGACTGCATTTCTAAGAACAGGGAAAAAAACCCCAATTTAAACACTGAATGATTTCAGGAACTATTGGGTTCCTCCTCCTGTGTTTACATGCTGCTCAAGGAATTGCCAGGTGGTGGTGGAAGATGCAGGACTCTAATTTGAGATGTTTCAAATTGGTTGACAGGGCACCTGGGCTTTGGTTCCAGCTTTATCCCTAAATTGCTTCTCTGGCATGTCTCTCCTGGACCAGAGGATCCCTCTGAGCCCTTTCCCCAGCGCTTCTGTTGGAGCAGTTCTGAAGTGTTTGAACTGCTGGCCACCCCACTGTATCCTTAAACCCTGCCCACCCTCTCGGTTCTGCGCCTCCGTTCGTTTCTCCATCTCCTGCTGCTCTCTCTCCTCTACTTCTCCCTCTCCCTTCCCCGTCTGTCCTCTCTTCTTTATCTCTCTCCTTTGCTGACTTCTCTTCCTTCTCTTGTGTCTTCAGTGAGGATGTTTTCAGGACTCTGAGCTCAGCCCTCCCCTCTCCCTTCCCTAGGGAAAACCCATCCTTTCTAGGGGCTTTAATGACCACTGACACTGATGGCACCCAGACATTTTGTCTGAGCTCCAGACTCCTGTATTCATTCATCCAACAAGTATTAATTGAGTACCTGGGATGTGCCCTGCAGTGTGTTAGGCATTGGGGATACCACAGTGAACAAGACAAAAGTCCTGTCCTCATGCAGATTACATTCTGGGGGCGGGGTGTGGTGTGTGTTTGTGTGTATAGAAAAATAGGCAATAAATAAGTCAAGAAATAACTTGCCTTTCTCTTACATACCTCCACCAATGCGCACTGCTTAGACTCAACATGCTCTCTATCACCAAACCATCTCCCTCTCCAGATTCCTCTGCTCTCGTTTATTCACTCAGCAAACACTGCTTGCCCCCCATCCCCCAGTATGCAGTATATTCACCCAGGGGCTGAGCCTTTTCCATGCGTATGTCCACGTAGCTCTAGGTGCCTCCTCCTCCGGGCCTGCTGGGATTACTTAGCCAAGCTTCTTCCGTCCTCCCGAAGGTTCTGTTGCCCACCCCCAGCATGGTCCTCTCAGCTCTTGAGCAATGTCTTGTCCATTCTCTCAAGGCTTCCCTAACCAATATCTCAAGGCCGAATGTATTCTTACACCATCCTGGTCAGCAGGTGACTTCCCCCACTTCCTGTGGTGCAGGGGGAGGCTCCTTGAGCCCTGGGGTCAGGCATACCTGATTGGATCCTCCATCTGCTGCTTTATAGCTGTGTGATAGTGAATAATTGACTTAACCTCTCTGAGGCTGGGCCTTCTTTATAAAGTGAGGATTATAGTGCCACTTTGAAAGGTTAGGAATAGTCTATGGTGTGTGTTTGGCACACGGTGGAGCTCAGTGAATGGTGGCTACGATCATTATCAAAACGACTAATGCCAGCTTGAGCGAGCTCCTGTGACCTCCCTCCTCCTAGCTCCTGACGAAGAGGGCCTCTCCTTCCCTCAGGGGCCACCCCCGGCCTTCACTCCAGAGTTTCTCTCTACACCCCCTCTTGTGGCCCGCTCAGCACTCCCTCTTCCTCACATCTCTCACCTCCTCTCCACTGGCCTCTTTCATCCCCTTCTTTCTCCAACTCTTGCCCAGACCTTACCTTTCCCTTAATCTCTGCCTGCTCGCTTCCTGGCGAAAGGTTCTTCACTTGGTGCCTCGGCTTCTTCGCCTCGCAGTCAAGCCCGGTAGCTTTGTGAGGCCAGGGATGCACTGCCTCGGCGCTGCTGCCTGGCTGCCCTGGTCAGACGCGCCAGAGGCTGCCAAAATGTCAGGTCCAGGAGCTTCACAGCCTCCCCCTCCCCCATCCCTCTGCGGTGTCAGATGCTGAGGGTGACTCCTATCGGTCCCCCTGCCCATTTTTCCTTTCTTCCTTGAACCTTCTGAATTCCATGACACAGCACTCTTGTGGTCTTCTTATCAGGCAGGTCCTTTCCCTCACCTTTGCTGGCTCCTTTAAAACAGTGATTTTCAACCTCTTTGATCTCCCGACACACACAAACTAATTACTAAAATTCTGTGGCACACCAAAAAATATATTTTTTGCCAATCCGACAAAAAATTAAGTATAATTTTGAGTCATTCACAGACAGCTATTGTTGTGTTAGCTGTTGTCATTTTTAAAACTTGACAGTCTAAGGGGCAAGAGGTCAGTGCCTCTGACCGAATGGTCAGGTATTGCATGTTTTTAAAATTCTTGCCGCAGACTGGTGTGCCTGCTGCCAGGCACACAGGTTGAAAATCAATGCTTTTAAATGTAGCTATTCATTAGGGAGCCTCTCCCCCTCTTCTCTTCCTACTGCCCCTCCCTCACCCACTTCCTTGCTTGGGAATCTCACCTACTCTTATTTGTTTATACCGCAGACTGATCTCTCCCCTCCGCCTTCTTTCTCACACCCTTCCTCCAGACCTGCACATTTAACCCTGTGCCGTATATTGGCAGGCACATGGATAATCTCAATTCATCCTGTCCAAAGAGCGGTCTCACCCCTGCCTCCCCCACCCCACCTATCTTTCCCTCCAGCATGCTGGGTCCACTCGCCTCAACTGAAAGCCCCAGACTCAGCGAATTCTTCCTCTGTTCGCTCACATGCTCACTGACACTACAAATATTTTTTGAGCACCAGCTCTCTGCCAGGCATTGTTCTGGGTGCTGATGCTGTGGCAGGGCAGGAGGAAGTTCCAGCGTTTGCTGTGACAGCATGCAGTCGGCTGGGGAGGCAGACACTCGACAAAGGCCACACACAAGGACTGGTGAGTTACAACTGGAATGGGGGTGGAGGGAGAAGTCCGGGGGCTGTAGTAGCTTCACAGTGCTTTCTGCGTTCGTGCCCTCCTCTCTCCTGTGACAGCTGATGCCTAGGGTGGGGCCTCAAAGTCCTGGATTTGTGCATAAACTTCAACTCTGTGTCTCTCCCAGCTCCCATCCGTCCTCAGCACAGCATCCGATTAATCTTCCCGATGGGCAGATCTGCTCATGCAAACACACCCTGCTATGGCTCCACAAGACCTTGTCAAACTGATCGGAGTCCTTGTGCTGACCTTCAAGTCCTGCACAGTCTACCACCTGCCTACGTTGCCATTCGTTGCCACCCCCTGCATGTGGCTCTGCTCGGCTGCACCCCAACATGTAGTAGTCTTCCCAAACCTTGGGGTGTTTGTTCATGTTGTTTCCACAGCCTTGAAACCTCTTAACCTCATCTCTGCCAGTTCAAATCTTTCCTCCGTT